CTGCTCCCAGAAACTGTAAACAAGAGGCAATTGGCTCAAATTTTGGTCTAGTTACCAAGATGTGGGTTTGAGAAAAAGGTCAGCATGTTCCTGGTCACTCTGGCCAACTATTTTTCTAAGACTTTTCCATTTTTCATTTGGCTTTCACCTGCAGGATGAAACTTCTAGGGACTTTGCCACCCCTGAGCTATGAGAAACTGTTGGTGGGGGGCTTGATTTTTCTGTATAAAAGCCTACCCTGAGGAAGGCTCACGGGTGTACTTGGGACCTGAATGCCTAGTGTAGTTGCTGCCCCGCTCTAAACACATTCTTTTGGCTCTTTTCTGTGTCTGAGTAGTCTTCTCTAGTGGGTTACTTATTTGGAGGCCCCCCGCGAGATCCCTAGAGATTTAGACCTCAGATACTCGGGGCAGAAGGAGAGTAGGTTTGGACCGACAGACTCCTAGGAGAGGCACCTCCTAGGACAGATATTCCAGAGCCCCGGGACCTCTGGGCCCCACTGCCCGATATCCCGACCCCAAAGATTTTTTTTGAAGATCATAGAACGTCATCTGGTTTCGAAAACCTCTGGAGGTAAGTCAGGCTGAGGCAGTCTCAGTAGGGGGCACTCAGGAGAGCTGGGTATGGCCACTAATCTTGTGTCCAGAGAACCGTGTGAGAAGTCACCGGCCCTTTGTAATTAAAATTTTACAAACTGGTGTATGAGTGCTTGGTGGCCACCACATATTTGTTTTATTTGTGCTGGTCTCTGTTGTCTGTTTCTGTCAATCTGTCACCTATGTCAATATGGGAGGGGGGCTGAGCTCTTCTAAGACTCCCCTGAAGTGCATACTTAAGGATTCTAGGGATGGTTTCGTGGTGAGAATGACTGTGGCATCCGTTTCTCACCCAGAAAACCCTGACATGCTGTGAACTCACGTGGCTGACTTTTGAGGTGGGATGGCCCAGTGAGGGGATCCTGAATGTCTGAATGGCCCAAGCAGCCTGAAGCGTGGTCACCGGACCAGCCCATGGCGGAGCACTGCACACACAAAAAGAAGCAGTGCCTGCGCTGCTTCCTCCTTTGGCCACAGCGGCAACAGCCACAGGCTAAAGAACCAGTCGGGAATGTCACGAGGCATCTCAGGACAGACTAAAACTGTGCCATATTACAACCCTAGTTAATCCCAGTAACTACAAACAAGAGGGAATTGTCTCAAAGCGTGTGCATATAAAAATTAAGCCCAGCTACCAGGATGTGGGTTTGAGAAAGGTCGGCGTGTGCCTCGTCGCTCTGGCTAACTGCATTTCTAAAACGTTTTTGTAGTTTTTGCTTGACTGGCACCTGCAGGAAGAAACTGTTAGGAACTTTTCCACCCCTGAGCAATGAGAAACTGTTGGGAGGGGGGGCTTTGATTTCTCTGAATTAAAGCCTACCCTGAGAAAGGCTCGGGGCTGTACTTGGGACCCGAATGCCCAGTGTAGTCACCAGCTGGCCACAGAGACATTCTTTTGGCTATTTTCTGTGTTCGAGTGGGTGTCTCTGGTGGGTTACCTCGTAAGATTATCAAACATGAAAAGTTAATCTTAACTTTTAACTTAACCTTTTAACTATATTTTTCCCCAGAGAAATCTGGAATACATTTGATTTAATAAACGTGAAACAGATTCAAAATAAGTTTGTGCTGAGCAAAATTCTCCCCTGAGATCTCTGGGATCCCAGGAACACACGGTCTGAACTCGGGCTGAAAGAAATCTACACAATGCATTCTGTTTGGGCTTTTGTCTAGTTTATGGCATCTCGGAAAGGGTTACTTAGAAAGGCATGATTGCCTGTGGGCCCTGCTTTTACATCTTGGCTAAGTTTTGAGTTCTGCCACCTGCCGGCAGCCTGCCAGCTATCCGCGTGCCTGGTTCGCCAAGATGACGACTCTCCCCTTCTTACCAGTGTCCTCAGTGCTTCCCCAAGTACTTACCGCTTCCCAGTGTCCTCAGCCAGCTTCTGTCCTTAGACCCTGCTCCTCATGAGTGAGTGGGTGGGAGGAGTGACTGTCTCGGAGGACACGCCTACCCAACACTACACCCCTTCCTCCAGATCTCACAATCTTTCTGTCAATCTTCCAAAAGGGTCCCCGAGTCTTGGAGGGGGTGACAGATGCAGGATGATCTTTTCTTCTTTCATGTGGTGAGATATTGGACACCTGGGCTTCCCCATCTTTCGTTCTCAAGACGTGGGTGTTGATCCATCTCAGTGGTGAATCCCCTACTATAGAGACAAATGAAAGGAAGTAGACACGTCGAAACAAATATGGGTGTAAATACAAATGCCTAGAAGATACCCAGCAGGTGTACCATATTTATCGAATAGAATACTTGCAGCAGCTTCTCCACTGGGGCCTTCCCTGACACAGGGGGTTGACCTGGTCTACAGCACCAGATGTGTGTTCCACCCCCAGGAGTGGGCCTTAACCAATTAGAAATTGTCAGTTGTAAGTATGTTAGTCAAGCCATTATTGCACTAGCAGGCATTGCTTGGCATGTCAATAGAGTACAGCACATGGGATCCATCGTTGAGCAGAATCATAGGTGATCCTTCTCCCCCCAACCATCCGCATACTGCCTTCTGGCACTATGAAAGCCATCCATCCAGTGGCATGGAGTTTTCAGCTAAGTCTTGGCTTCGTCTCTCCTTCTCCCACGCTCACATCATGCAGGGTCTTCAGCAACATGGCCTTACCGACCTTTCCTGATGTACAACAGTCATTAGTGGCAATAGCCTTGGTTAATTTGAGGGCCTCTAGGATCTCTCTGGCCAACAGCTCATAGGGGGGCAACCACTCCTTGCTCTGTAATTTTTTCTTAACAGTTGTACAGTTTTGGGAGTCTTTGTTTTTATTTTTATACAGGATTAGTTGTCGTAGGCTTTTCCCAGCCATCTGGTGGGTACCACTTTTGTCTTACCCAAGCATGAAGCTCCCAAGAATCTTACAGCTATAGCTGGCCTTTGTTTCTTCAGGTGTCTTCCAAATGGGTTTCACATCTGTAAAACACTCGGAGGTTAACATTATATATTAAATCAAACATAGACAAGAGCTAACACAGAGTGGAAAGTTTTTATCCTTTTGTCTTACTTGTTTTCTCAACAGATGTCTGCTGGGTACCATAGCATGGATAAGAGACATTAACTTGTTTAGTTTTCTGCTATCTTTAGTTATCCCTTTGAAGTCATTCCACATTCTGGGAATTTTTACATGGAGCCTCTCTGTACCTTTTTATCCTTGATAAACTCATGGGTTCTGGCTCAAGTAGCCTGACCCTGCACCGGGCTAAGGAGGCAGATGGTTGTCTTGTCCCTGCTGCACCTGTTGGTTCCCAGAGTCAGACAGGCCCTGTTTTGACATCTCAGCTAAGCTTTGAGATCTGCCCACCAGCTGCCTGCCGACTGTCTGCACTCCCAGTTCACCAAGATGGCAACTATCCCCTTTTCCCCAGTGTCCTCAGTGCTTCCCTGAGTCTTTAGCACTTCCCAGCGTTCTCATTGTCTGTCCTTAGACCCACCCCCTCATGACCGATTGGGTGGGAAGAGTGACTGGCTCAGAGGAGGACATTCCTGCCCCACAGTTTGAAATCAGAAAAACTTATATTTGGGGGGGGGTCTTCGGGGATGATTCAGTGGAAAAGCTTTTGCCTCACAATAGGTAGAGCCTGAATTTGAATCCCCAACACCCATTTAAAAGTCAGGTGGGCATCAAGGCAAGTGTGGAGTCCTGCCTACAGTCCTAGTACTTGACACCCAGAGATAAGGGAATCCTGGAGAAACTGGGTAGCTGGACTAGCAGCATCAGTGAGCTCTGGGTCAGAGAGTCATTAAATAGAACAGAGAGAGGAAAAATTCTAAAGTCAACCTCTGGCCTCTGCATGCACATGCTTACACAAGCACACACACAAGCACATACATTTGCGCTTTGACATACATGCAAACATATTCTCATCCAAACATCATGGGCTACACAAAAAACCCGAATAGAATGTATCATGTTGGTTTTGTTGGTAGGATGTAGGAGAGATTTTGGCTTTACATTTGAAAATTTATTTATAGTTTAATTTTTCTGGCTTTATTAAAATGTACGTTTTTTCCTGTATAGATCCTCTCCCCTGTCTGCACACACTTTACCTCCCTGTTAAATTTCATATATGTATTTAAAGGCCTTGAAGAGTCAAATTTGTCTTCCCAATTGCACTTTGGTGTGGGTACATCCACTGGAACCTGGTCAACATAACCAAGTGGCTCATCTTTAAACAAGACTGACACGCAGCAGCCATCGGTTGCCAGTGCTTCCTCAGGATCAGTTGGGGGTTTTGTGACCACTTCCCCATGTCAGTGCTGGAACTTTGTCTGGCCCGAGCCAACAAAGTTCCCCTTTGTTTAGCAGTTCATTTTTATCATCTGTAAATTTAAGACCATCTTAATTTTAAAAATGCAAATTGAGGCCAGGCGTGCGAGGCAGAGGGAGACGAATCTCTGTGAGTTCAAGACCAGCCTGGTCTACATAACGAGTTTGAGGCCTGTTGGGGCTACAGAGAGATCCTGTCCCAAAAAGACAAGAAAAATTCCAAATTGGAACATGATTATTCAAAGCGATTTTGACCAGAAATGTTTCAGATTTCACGGCTTTGGATTTGGAATCTCCATAGGGTTTGGTGATTGAACATCCCTGCTCAGAAAATCCAAAACCCTAGGTGCTCTAAAATATGAAAAATGATTCTCCAAAGAGAATCATCAGATGGTGACACGGTTGCCAGCAGATGAACTAGCCCAGGTTTAATTTCTGTTCCCGAGATTTAGCCAAAAGAATGTGACAGTAAGATGGGAGCTATTTATAGATGCAAAGGAATCATTCAACTCAATACTATAGAATTTACGCTGGGAATGAAGTTAATAATGACCGGAGTAGGAATGACCATGAAAAAGAGGCAGCTGAGTGATTGAATATATGACACTTCGAGAAAGAGTTTGCATTTTGGTGAGACCCTGGTTCTAGAAACTTTATAACAAAATTCTAGTGTTAGCAAAACTAGCTATTTAGTTGGTGTACTGGCACATGTATTTGTCTTCAATATGGGAGAGACTGAGACAGGTAGATGGATAGCTGAAGGATGGCCTGGCCGATAAACTGAGACCCTGTCTCATAAAACAAAGACACCGACATACAAATTACTTTTCATAACTTCAAATAATTGCTCATAACCACAATCATTTTTCTTTTACCAAATTAATGCCACACTGACTCTTACGTAGATTCTCATCTGGTGTTTGAAATAATTACCATAAGGGTTCACCTAAATTTTGATATTTGCTGAGAAGACCCTGTAGTCTTATCTACACATCTCCTCGTGCCGTTTTGCTTTGTCTAAAGAGAACGATTCTCTGTGTTGCACAGACTAGCCTCAAGCTCTCAATCCTCCCTGTTCAGCTGGTGGTGTGGATGCCACTGTCTAGATTTCCCAACAATCCTGACCATGACGCTTCATTAAACCATTACTGAGCATAGTGCACTACTTTTGCACCTTCTGTAATTACATTTGATTCATGTCTGATATATTTTGTTGCTTAACTGTTGGATTTTTCGGTTTTATTTAATTATATAGATTCATTTCTTTTAACTTGAAATTATGTGATTTACCTGAATATTTAAAAATTCCCTTTTGAAATTTTATTTTACAATTTGTAACTCGAGATGAGAAATTATGTTGCATAACTAAAGTAGCGTTTTGTGTTTTAGAATTTGGCAGAAATGGAGAACAATAATGATAATCTACTTCTCTTTTTTTTTTTTGGTCTTTTTGAGACAGGGTCTCCCTGTAGCCCCAGCTGGCCTGGATTTGCTATGGAGACCAGACTGGCCTCGGACTCCCAGAGATCCACCTGCCTCTGCCTCCCGAGTGCTGGGATTAAAGGTGTGTGCCACCACACCTGGCGATAATCTGCTTCTTGGTACCTAAAAGCGAACTTAAAGAAGAAATGATGAAACTGCAACAAAAATTTATGAGAGAAATTGTAAGATATTTCAGATTGGAAAGGTGGATTAATGGAAGCACTGCAGTGTTTTATTCCCTGATGTGCGAAAGACATTGGTCTAGAAAATAAACATGTTTGCTGTTTCCTTTCCTTATACAGCAACAGGAAGAGTTGGTAAATGTTTGTCAGACCCTTCAGTACATGGTCTGTTGATGAGAAGATCTTTTGAAGAAGGAGCTTGAACCTAAGTGATGGAATTCAAATGTCAGCCAAGAAACACATGTTTAGACAAGTAATTTTGGTTAAAATGCTGACATCTTTAGTCATTAGCTTGTTTATCTCTCCTCATACTTCATTCAAAACCAAAGCTAGTTAAGTCACTACAAACTATTCCTGTATTTTAGGCATTCAGTTCTTTTGTTTTTCTAGTGAATTTTTCTGTCAGCACTGTTAATTGTTATCAATAAAGATGATTTAAGTTTAGATTTTTTGCCTTACTGTATCTATCATTCCCCAGAGGTATGGAGTTCCATTTCAGAATGTTACATTGATTTGTTTAATTTCGTTTACTGACTGAGTCTCAGCATGTTTCTCAGACTGGTGCTCAACTTTTAGCTCAAGGGATCCTCATACCTCAGCCTCCCAACTAGCTCAGGCTTTACAGGTGGGCACCACCAGGCCTGGTTCACATTGTTCATCTTTAAGGAAAACCCCTCTCAGATCAGTTTCCCATACTTTATAAATTGTGTAGCCCATTCTAAAAATGAAAAGTTCTTCTATTCAGTTGGTAAATTCATTAAGGAACTTAAGTTTATGTCTCAGAGTTAAACAGACAGGGCACTAATAAAACTGACAAGATTTATAGATACCAATTTTAAGACATGGACTTATGAAGGTTGTTTACACAGAGTATCGGAGTATCCTTTTCATTGGGCTTGGCCTGCAGTTAAATGGCACATGCCCTTAGTAATAGTTAAGAGTACATCATGGGGACTGGATGTACATCAGCAGTTAAGAGCACTGGTAGCTCTTGCAGAGGACCTGGGTTCAATACCTAGCATCTACATAGATGCTAACATCTACCCCATAACTCCAGTTCCAGGGGAATTTGATTCCTCTTCTGCCCTCCACAGGCACTGCAGGTCATGGGTGAACTTACACACATGTAGGCAATACACTCATACACATAAAATTTAAAAAATAAAATTTTTGTTAAAAAGCACATCATGATGCAGCTAGTTCCCATAAAGCTTGCATAGCATGTGTAGTCCTGGGTTTATTCCTTAGCATTGCCAACACCCATAGTTGTAAATATCCACTTCAGACTTGTGGAAGCTGGAGTCTCATGTGCAGCTAAGAAAGCAGTCTCCCCCAGAGTCACAGAAACACCATACCTAAGAAAGCCTATGTTCCCTAGAGTCACAGAAACACCACACCTAAGAAAGCAGTCTGTCTCCCCTAGAGTCACAGAAACGACACAGTGCTGTTTTATAAATTGACAGGTCCTGTGTAAACTATTATATTCCTTGGCCTTGGCATAATTTTTCACTTGCTACATGGATTGTACAATTAATGATAAAATTGTAGCACCTGCTAAATCCAATTCTGAGGTTTCATTCATGTCTTTGTCTTTGGTTTGATGTGAGTCTATGAGTCTCAGGGCTTCCCAGGACTTGTATGATGCCAGATGCTGGTATCATTTTAAATTAAGACTAGGGACTGGAGAATTTGCTCAGTGGTTAAGAGCACTAACTGCTCTTACAGAGGACCCCGGTTTGATTCCCAACACTCACATGGCAGCTAACAACTATCTTAACTCCAGTTCCAGGGGCTCTGATGCCCTTTTCTGACCTCCACGGGCATTTCACAACACGGATGCACTTACACATATGCAGGCAATACACTCATACATGTAAAGTAAAAATAATTAAAATATTTTTAAATTAAGCCTTAATCAAATAGCAGATGTCTACGCACATGTTTCTCAGCTGACACTTGAATTACATCATTTACATCTGAGCTCCTTCATCAAAGGAACATGGACTGAAGAGTCTGGTGAACATTTGCCAACTCTTACTGTTGCTGTTGAAGGAAAGGAAACAGTATAGGTGTTTATGTTCTAGTTCCCTGTCTTCCCTACATCTGGAAATAAAACATTTCAGTGCTTCCATTAATCCACATTTCCAACTTGAAATATAACTTCCAGTTTTTCTCATAAGTTTTCTTTACAATTTAGTCATTTCTTCTTTGAGTTTTCTTTAGGTAGCAATGAGTAGGTCATCAATATTCTTCTCCATTTCTTAGAAACCCTGAAAGGCAAAAGGCTGATTCAGTAATGCAACCTAATTTTTCACCCCAAGTTCAAAACTGTAAAATAAATGTTCATAGTGGAGTTTTTAAATATTCAATTAGCTCGCATTATTTCAAGTGAGAAAAATAATTCTATGTAATTCCGGGGAGACCAAATGAATGAAATGTAATTACCAAAGTAGTGTACTGTGCTCAGTAAAGGTTGAATGAGGTGCAGTCAAGATGGCTGGGAAAAGCTAGGCAGTAGCACAAACTCTGCCAGCTCAACTGGGAAGATTGAGACCTTGAGGCTCTTCTGTGCAATATAGAGAGTCGTTCTCTTTAGGCAAAGCGAAAGGGCATGAGGCGACGTGTAACTAAGGCTACAGGGTCTTCTCAGCAAAAGCCATAATTTAGGTGAACCCTTACAGGAATCGTATCAAATACCAGATTACAATCTACTTAAGAGTCAAGGTGACACAACTAAACAAAGACGATTTTGCTCCCCCACTCCAGCTCCTCCCCCTCCCATCCTCCTCCTCACACCCCTGTCTCTTCCTGGATCCCCGTGTCCTCTTTACCCCTAGTCTCACCTTGTTCCCCAGTTCCTTCTTGTCTCTAACCTTCAAGGTAGAGTCCAGTCCCCTGTCCTCCAGCTCAGTGCTTCCTTGTCCTCCCATCCCATAAGGACATCCCTGGGACCCAAGTCCCCTCATGGCCCCTAGTCCCTTGGTGTTTCTAGCCCTTCCTTGTCTCCCCTAACAAAAGGCCCTCCCTGTCCCCCTATCTCCCACCCCCGTTCCCATCCCATGCCCTCATCTGCCATCACAGTCAACCCTCAGCTGTCACAGGAAGCAGTGACTTCCCACTCTGTTTACCCACCTTCGACCCAGTCCCCCTCACCCCCAACAGCTCAAGCCCCTGTACTCAGGAGGGTCCCCTCCATTTTCCTCTCCAAGGCCCCAGGGAGCACCAACACAGAGGACTGGCCTCACGGGGAAGAGCTGCCTGAACTGGGACTCCACGAGGGGATCCAGGTCCCCGACCTACACCTAAACTGTACCCCGGGACCGATATAGACTTATAGGTGACCCCCTTCACCTCTGCAGCCTCTTTCAGCCGGATCCTCACCCCACAAACTCAGTCACTTTGCCTCCACAGGGAGCTTATGAGAAAACCGGCTTCAAGCAGGAGAAGAGCTGGTCTCTAATGGATACCTCGATGATTGGCTAAGCACCCTGCGCATGCGTGCATGGGATTGCGACTTCCATCCTGTTGAAGGGCAAGTTGCCCTTAGAGTCTTCGGTTGGTATCCAGCACCTGTGTCCTGCTAGTAGACAAGTCAGATACTTTCCAGTTGGAAAGTTCACAAAGTACACTGGACAATTTTAAGAGCTGGATAGAAAACAGGATGAACAGTTCCCTAACTTGTTTCAATTGGAGTCTCCCGTGTATGTTTTAATATATGCTGGGACATTTCTCCCAGTATCTGTCTGCTTTCAGTGTTTTCCTATGCTCATGTTGTAAAGCTACGACCCTTCTTAAAATTTTAACTCTCTGCAGAAAAAGCACAAAACTGCCACATGTTATCGAGATGGTTTCACGCTTAAATACTCATTTGGGAAAAATGAGATCCTGATGATGTCAGGATGTCCTTACAAGAAATAAGGCCTGTTTGTCCAGTGAGTTAAAAATTATTTTTGAATTGTTTTGTGCCCACAGATTCCTTGTGTACATGTGAGTGCACATTTGTGTGTATGTGTGTGCGCATGTACAAAATGTGCTATTTTTGTCACAATAGCTTCAAATAAAATTTAAAGATATCAGTTTGAAAATTATTTAAGTTTCACATGGAATCACTTTTGCTATGTTGAAAGTATTATAGCTAGAGGTAGGCCAGTGGTGGTCTGTTTCCCTAGGGTGCAGGCTGCACCACAGAACAAAATGTATGCAAATACTTATAACAACTCTTTTTTCTTTCATATTTGTGAAAAACAGTCTTAAAAGACCCAAGGTCATTTTCAACTATGTAAAAGTAAACAAACGAGGGACTGAAATTAGAGAGCTGTATGAGAAAATCCCAGAGGTATGTTGGACATGGTAACTGTGTGTTCTTATAAATCAACACATGGCTTAAATATTTTAAGTTCTGAGTACTTTCTATTTAGTCTTTTGTTCTGATGCAATGAATACATATATCCGCAAAATGCTAATTTGTCAGAATTGTTCAATGTAGGAAACTGTAATTTGGGAGATTTCCTGAAATATACTTCATGTTTAATAACACTCTAGTCAATCTCTGTTTAACTGAAAGTAGGAAGCCTATATATAATTTCTCCACAGTCTTTTGTCTTTGTTTCCTCAGTGTTTCTAAGCTACATTGCAGTTACGCCTGAACAAAACAAAATAAAACAGCAACGATAAAAACAGCCTGATTGTTAGTGTTCATTTTAAGGCCAAGAGTGAACCAGAACCCTGACAACATGATCATTCAGCTGTCTCAGGGAGCTGTGTTCTTGAGTCAGGCTTTACTCATTCTTTTGTGAGTATTTCCAGCATGAAGTGGTGCAGTAGAAGGTAGGATCCACTCTTACCTCACCATAGGGCCCTCATCACAGAATCTTGCACACGCCATGGACGAACACTGCTTACTGGCTTGCTCTTCTGACTCCTGCTCTACCTGCTTTCTTAAACAATATAGGCCCAGTTTCCCAGGGTGGCAGCACCCACATTGGGCTGGGCCTTCCCACATCTCTCAATAATCAAGAAAGTGCCACACAGAAATGGCCACACGCCAGTCCACTGTGGGAAGCAAGCGCCACCTAGTCAGCCAAAGATGGCGCCTTGGCTGGCTGCCAAGTCTCATGACCCTCGCTTGTTTACTCCAACTCTTGGCTGGCAGCCAAGCCTCGTGAGCCTCGCTTGTTTACTCCAACTCGTAAGTAAGCACGAGGAGCCGGATCATGTGCTGTCTGCCTGATCAGAGACATCATCAAGCATGACCCTGCTACGTGGCCCAATGAGCTGCCACTCTGCCTGCCTGCTGCGTGTGTGTGTGTGTGTGTGTGTGTGTGAGCCCTGATTGGTCCTGGCTGGGAGGAGGGCTGTTGGGAACAAACTATGTAAGGACTGAAGTGCGTAATAAAGAAGCCTGAACCTCACCTTGGTGTCTCTGTCGTCTTTCCTCAGCTCTGCTGGACAGAGTCGTGGCTTGCGGCAGTCCACTGGAGGCAATTCACCAATTGAGGCTCCCTCTATCCAGGTGTGTCAAGTTGACTACCAGAACTATCCAGCACAATTGACCCCTTGCCAACTTGCCAAACATACACGTCACTACTAAACCATCACCTTTCCATTTTTTGTCCTCAAGTTATGATGCTAATAATATCACAACATAAAGCCAGTACAAAGGTAAAAGATCCACACTCCTTAAAACATGCAAACATTTGAATTTCCCTAGTCTCTTTTAAATGAGTTTTAACTTTGGGCTCCTGCAAAAACCAAGTACTGTCTTATTTCAAAAGGAAAGAATTGGGCACACCTAAGCAATATATAACTCCAGCAAAGCAGTTCAAGGCTGGACATCTGGGAGTCGCTTGGGATCTTCTGGGCTCCAAAGTTTTCAGCAACTCCATTTCTCTGACTCTGCCACCCACAGCACACACAGCTCATCTCACAGACCCAGGCTGACTCAATTCCACACCTGCTGCTGCCGTTGGTGGTTGTCCAGTGGTCATGGCATCTCCAAAAAGGTGGGGTTTCCACTGAAGCTGATGTTGCACCTTCTCCAGTGGCTTTTCTGGCCTCTCAGGGTGCAAAGCCTGAGATTCAGGTTCTGGTCTCTTCTTAATCACAGCTGATTCTTCAGCCCCACCTGACCAGAATCCATATATTTATCAATTCAAGACATCATACAAACTGCCCTGAGAGTTTCTGCTTCTCTTTGACGCTTCACAAGCCAGGCCTCCATCGTTCCCAACTCTTTCAGCATAACTCTTCCAAGCTCCACACCAATTAACTCTAAGCACTCAATGGCTTTTCCAGGCCAAATTTCCCAGTGCTTCCACAATCCACCCTAAAACAACTGGGTCAGGTCTCTCACAGCAGTACCCCAGGATCCTGGTACCAATTTCTGTTCTAGTTTGCCTACAATTTCTGTGATAAGACACTCTGACCATTACCAACTTGGGGATGAAAGGGTTCATTTTGTTTACATCTCCAGGATCACAATTCATCAGGGATCCCAAGGTAGGAACCCAGGACAGGAAAGCAGAGGCAGGAGCTGAAGCACAGTCCATGGAGCAACACCGCTTGCTGGCTTGCTCCTCTGGCCCCTGCTCAACCTGCTTTCTTACACAACAGAGGCCCAGTTTCCCAGGGGTGGCACCACCCACAATGTGCTGGGCTCTCCCACGTCACTCAAAATCAGGAAGATGCCTCACAGACATGTCCATAGGCCATGCCAATGGAAGCAATTCACAAATTGAGGCTCCCTCTACCCAGGTGTGTCAAGTTGACAACTAAATCTATTCAGCACAGCCATGTAGCCAGTTCTGGTCCCAATAATTCTTTGAATGCATGCATCACATTTTAAAATTTTAGGTATTAGTTAATATATGTAGTTGTGATGTGTGTCTGTATCAGTCAGATGGCCACTTTTGTAAGTCAATACTGATTTCATGGAATGGGCTCCTGCCTTGGGCTAGAACTTTGTTTTTCATGCATGTCAGTGAGAGCCTTTCATCGGAGGAGCCAATCCTGTGCCCTAAATTCTCTGCCTTGAAAGAAAGGAATTTAAATTTTTAATTACATTTATTTATTTATTTTTAAATTTGTGTACTATGCTTTTGAGTACGGGTGATTATTTGTGTCTACCTGTGCCACAGTGACTGTGTGGGTAGATCTGAGGACAAGATACAGAAATCCCTTCTGTTCTTCCACCATTTCCTCGCAGGTTCTCACACTTGGGTGTTCAGGGATTTCAAAGTATTCCCATTTGCAGAGACAGCCAGATGACCTTGAGTCCATCAACTTGAAAGTTTCCAATAGCAAATGGCTTTATTTTTATTGTAGTTATTTATTCATTAGGGGTTTTGTGTGTTCATGTATTTAAATGTACTTGTGTGCTTCTTTGTGTGTCTGCGGAGGGAGGGTGCCCCATGCTACAGTGAATGACTGTGGAGGTAAGAGGACCACTTGCATAATTCAGCTCACTCCCTGCAACATTTGGATGCTGGGAATCAAACCCCCTTTTCCAAGCATGCGGGGACGATCCTGTTCACTCCCAGACATACATACTGATGGCCGTAGCTCTGCCACGTTCAAAGTACACACATAAAATAGCTGAACTTTATTAACACGTTCATTTATTTGTTTATAATTTGTTCTCTGTGTACACATGTGAGGAGTACCCACTCTCTACTGGGCATATTTGGAGCTCATAGGACAGCTGGTGAGATTCAGTTCTCTCCATCATGTACATTGTGGGGCTCCAATTCATTTTGCCAAGCTCAGTGGCCGGTGCCTTTCCTTTCTGTGTGTATTTACAGCCCTAAACACACCTCCAGGAATGCATACAAGAAACATGGCTTTCAAATTATTTCCATGTTTGCTTGTTTGTGTGTGTATGTGTGTTTTCAAAGATGGATGTGAAGATCGGAGGACAACTTAGGGAAATTCCTTTCTAGTTTTGAGTTTTCGTGCTGTACTTTCTTCACAGATAAACATTTTCATCTTGTTGGGAATTTCATAGACACGGGGTATCCTAAAGGGAGGTGAAACATTCCATCCTGCAGGGAAAGTCCATACTCCTGGGAAATAAATAATTCATTCAAAGGCTCCAGGAAGTCCCTGAAACTGACCAGTTAAACAATATCCCTTGCTCCCCAAGGCTATGTAAACAGCAAGGACTAGTGAGAGACACTCAGCTGCCTGGAAGAGAGAGGCACTCCTATCTGTTGAGTTGCCTGCAAATTGTGTACTTATTTCCAGGTTTCCAGCTTTGGTGAGCCAGCTCTCATAGCAGGCTAGGCATTGCTGATGCACCTCTCTGTGAGTCATTTCTACTGCAGTATGTTCCCACCAAAGTCCATCAATCCTGTGGAAAAGTTCTACAAGTCGAACGCCTAGAGATAACTCAGGACACAGGACTCAAAAGAAAGATCACAAACATGATCAAGGAATTTAATGAATTTAAAGAATACACAAATAAATCAAAGAATTAAAAGAATATAGGGATACACTTCTGACTGAATTCACAAAAGAGGTAGAATCATTGATGAAAACTCAAGGTGAAATGAAGAGGAAAGTGAAAAACTCAATTAGCCAATTTGAAACAATGGGAGAAAGCCTCGCTTATAGAATGAATTAAGTGGAAAACAGAATATCAACACTGGAGAATAAAGTTGAGGAATTGGACCACGGAAGCAAAGATTATGAAAAATCAAAATAAAATCAAGAGAAAAAAAGAAAAACACAGGAAAGGACTATGCAGATGATGTCGGGCACCATGAAAAGGCCAAATCTACCTATCACAGGCACAGAGGAAGAAGAGGAATTTCAGGTTAATGGTATTGACCAGATATTAAAGAGGGTTGTAGAAGATAATTTTCTAAAAATTTTGGAAGACATCCCCATACAAATACAAGAAGCACATAAACACCAGAAAGACAGGACCGGAAAAGAAACTCACAATGGCATATCGTAGTAAAAAGACTAAATCTACAAAACAGTGAGAATACTGAAAGCTGCAAAAGAAAAACAACTCACATACAAAGGAAAACCCATCAAAATTGCAGCTGACTTATCAATGCAAACTATGAAGGCCATAAGAGCATGGACCAAGGTATTTCCAACTTTAATGACCATAGATGCAAATCCAGAACAATTTATCCACCAAACATGTCTATTTTAGTTGAAGGGGAAAGAAAAATCTTCCACTACACAAATAGGATGAAAGAATACATGTCCACAAAACCAGCTCTTCAAAGAACACTTGAAGCAAAAGAAATAAGGGAGAAAGGAACAACTATATCCCAGGGGCAACAGTAACAAACTACATGAAGATATCATTGCAGAAACACAAAATTAGACAAAGAATGCAAACAGTATTCAAAACGATGTCAACAAATACACATCTTTCAATAATAACATTAAATATCAATGGACCAAACTCCCCAGTCAAATGACACAGGCTAGTTGAATGGATTTCCATTTTGTTGTCTGCAGGAAACACATCTGATCTTAAAGGAGAGGCACTACCTTAAGGTGAAAGCATGTAAAAGAATCTTTCAAGCAAATGGCATGAAGAAACAAGCAGGGGTTGCAATTCAAATATCTGACAAAATAGACTTCAAACTAAAACTAATCAGAAGAGATAAAGAGGATTACTTCATTCTGATCAAAGGAACAAACCAAGAAGATATTACAATTATGAATATATATCCACACAACTCCGGTGCACCCAAATTAATAAAAACAACACACAGGCCATTAACATACTCATTAACCCCAACTCAGTAACAGTAGTGTACTTCAACACCCCATTGTCCCCATTAGGTCAACCAGCAAAAAATAAACAGACATCTGAATTAAATGATACCATGCACAAAATGGACCAAACAGACAGCTTCCAAATATTCCACCCAAGTACCAAAGAATACACTATTCAGCACCCCATGGAGCTGTCACTAAAACTGACGACATACTAGGGCACAAAACAAACCTCAACAAACATAAACACTTGAAACAATTCCCTGCATCGTATTAGACCACAATGCAATAAAGCTTAAAATCAGCATCGGAAGAAGCCCT